ACTCAAGAATGGTTCTGCAAAATTTTATATTCCATTTGAAACAAACTTTATATATATTTTAAGTATAGTTACTGGTTACAGTTTCATATAATATTAAAAGTAGAAGTTTTGCGTCTGTAGAGTAAAGTACGAAAATTTAACCAGTAACTATACTTAAAAAATATATATAAAGTTTATTTCAAATGAAAGATGAAATTTCGGAGAGCCATTCTTGAATGTCCCAGAATTTTTTGCGTAGACTGTATAAACGTCGAGATTTGATATGTGAGTACTTTTTTTGAGTTTCAGAATGCATTTCTTTTTTCAATAAGATACAATGGCATTTTTTGAAACAGGCGCAAAAGAAAACACAGTGTGTGTATTCAATTGCTGATTTTCTATAGATAGTTTCTTCACAAGACAATCGTATTCATTGAAGTTAGTTTAAGATTAATAACTTTGCTACTAGCAGAATTCACTATGAATAGATTCCATCTATACGAATCACATCTTCACATAAGCAACTGAATAAAATGAGTTTGATAAAAAAAAATTAATTTTCTTTTTTTACATTTATTTAGTTATTGAGAAGGTAAAATGTTGCCAGTGATAGGTGTTAGCCTAGAGAAAAAAAGAACGATATGGGATATCGTACCAAGATGCTAGGATACATTGACTGTATTGCTCTAAGAACACTTCTTACCAACGATGGTCTTCCTTTTCCCACAGAATGATATCTGTTTCTTTCTTATTCTACACATGTGAAATAAGTGAAGCAAACTCATTTACCAACGATATATTGGACAAAAATCAAGTAAAACTAAGGTTTGTTGGTGGTATTGTCAAAAAAGATGACTTTTTTAAGGGACATAATAGAAGACCCCGGGTCTTCTAATGTGTCGATGGCTTTACTCATTCCGTTTAAAAAATTTCATTGAGAATATCAAAGTACGATTCAATCGAGTGTCAGTCGGAAAAGTTTGAATTTGACGGGTTCTAGTTCTATGCCATGCTGTTTGAGAGAGATATTCACCCCAAATTGTTCATTTATCAATGTCAAATTCTCTG